TAAAATGTTCTATAAAGTTCAATTGACAATTAATAATGACCCCTAAATATTTTATTAAAGCCAAAAACTTCAATCTTTTTTCATTGAACTTTATTCTAGGGGTCATAATACATTTATTCTAGAAGGCCATTTGTTTTTTCAATATTAAATTCAATGTATTATTCATTACTCCAATCCCTCAATTTTTGTTCCCCTTCCATAAAGTTCTTTTCAATTTTTTCCAACAAAACATCATAAATAAGGAATAAAATATCGTCTGCGTAACATATTATATCCACATTATCCATATATATGTACTTCTAATAAGTTTGTTGGCGATGAGGCTGCAAAACAGGGAAACACTGCTCGAACCCTGTGGACAACATTTATCAAATATCTTTCAAGAATCATTTCATTCTGATTATCAAGTAGGACCAGAGGCGTAGCTAGGGTGGGGCAAGGGGGGACATCCGTCCCCGCGCACAACATCCAGAGGGCGCCACATTGATGATAAACATATCAGAATGGAATGTTTTAAATCCTTGGAACACAGAAAGGGGCGCAAAATCTTTAGGTGTCCCCGGGCGCTGAAAATCTTAGCTACGCCTCTGAGTAGGACAATCTTTCTTTGGCGAGTATCTAAGTTATTTTCTCCTTTCTTTGTGCATTTTTCCTTCGTGGTTTAATAGTAGCACACTTGGCTACACTTGTCCAGTCCGAGTCCAGGGAAGGGCATTGTCCATTTTCATGCCTCCTGCTTCAAACCTCCTAATGTCTCTAAAGGTCGATTAAAAGACCGATCGAAAAAGAAACGAATAACGATAGGAACACCTGTTTAATCAAAATAATTTCCATCAACAACAATAATTTGTAAATTTGTAACCATTGTATGACAAGGTACTTCATAACACGATTGTGAAAGTCAGCGTCTCTAGAAGTATTGAAGTATTCCCAATGCTCTAAATTGATGCGTTAATAAAGAAACATTTCTTGTATAAAAAATTGTAATCTGGTAATCTGTTGTGGAATTGTCAGGCTAGTAGGGAATATGATATGTAATTACTATCTATAAATATTTATTTGCGGTAAAGTTGACACTGCCTGACTATATATGGTCGAGAGTGGTCGTGAAAGAACGGATTCTCTGTTTCGACATATAGCCCAGTGTGTTACGCTTTCGCCTCATATTTGAATAATATCATGCTGCATTTATTATTTCACCTTGTGGAAGGAATGAATAGAGAATAACACCAACAAAAGACCACAATACAGTAGACAATATCAAGTTTGGACGCGAAGGTGCCTTTCGTGTTCTTCCTACCTAGAGAATCTGTTCCTCCCAATTATTACGTTAAATGCATTGTTGTAGAATATCCACTGCCACGATTCGTTGCAGGAAACTTTCTCCTTTACTTCTTTCTAAAAGAAAAAAGCGCATCATTTTCAAATGCCCTGGTTTGATTTCATCTGTGATTTAGTGAGACATCTACTTTTCGAGTTTTCTACTTTTTCCTATTATTGCAAACTAACGTAAAACAGATGAAAAGTTTACATTTAATGTCTGGGTAATGTCTCGTACAGATTGTTATCAATCTGATTTGATTAAATCGATTAATTCATTCGAATCGAAGGATGTAGGCGATGGCCTCAGGGTATTTTGCGTAGCTATATAATAGGAGCGTTACTTATAATGTGAGTAATAAAACAAAAATACAATATATACATTACAGCGGTGTCGGCAAGGACTTATTGTATATTCCTGAAGGTGCTTTCTTATTATAAATGGTTAACATATCCTTCTAGCAACTGCAAGATCTGCGATTCGAATACTGAAAATGCATGGTTCATTTTTCATGTTTGTTCTATTCGAAAAATGTTTTCTGTTCTTATAGTATCTACAATGTACAAAATGAAGAAGAGGGCAGGACACCAGAATTTCACCAGTGGTTGTACAGGTATAGTCCCACCACATATTACAGTAAAGGAAAAGAAGAACTGGAAGAGACAGCAGGATTTCACCAGTGGATATATAGGTAAAATCCTACCATACTAAGAGTATGGCTATATCCCACTCTTTATAGAAAACATTCGGGCGATGAATTGGAAGGTTTCCCATCCCTCTTCGCTTACCAACAAACCTCTCGAGAACACATTCAACTGGCCAATAATTTCGCGCCCCAGTCGCACAGACAATATACTACATTCGAACTTGGGTTTAACAACACATCAGTATAACTAACCTCTACATACTAGATCAGAGAGGCTTGTTGTATTTTTAGTGGTGCCTGAAACCTAAACGTAGTGCACATTCCTCACTGATTGTGTGTTACAGCGAATAGGTATTATGCTTCCGTGGTGGCTAATCGCACCGACGGTGCGAATAGCTAACAGGCTATTCACACCACCTATGTTCGCGCATGCGCTCAAGCAGCCCAGGTACAAGGCAGGTGGTAGTGAGAGCGACGGTTGTTAACCCTAACTCAGCAATAGAAAGGGTTGTTAATAATTCACCAGCAAGAGAATAATTTGCTAGTAATAATTATCAGTTACAAAGACGAAGTCAATCTATATACATGAGAATGTTCAAAAAATGATTAGATAAAATAGGGATTTAATGATGGTTCTAATTGCAAGCGAGGACGAGTAATTAGTTAAAAAATTTTTAGTGTATTGACAAAAAGGCTACAGAAATTACTTAAATTCTTTTATTTAACGGAGGAATTTTTATGCAAACTTAGACCCTAGTCTTATAGCATTGGACTGTCAGAATTTATTATTTAATAAGAAAACTTAGTGAAAATTATAATATTCTTATATATTCATCACTTTTTCAGTATCCACTCATGTTTATAGGTTAAAATGCCATACTCAATATTAAAGGTTTTATGAAATAAAAACCTTATAAAATCTGATAAATCATTTGTGCGTGCAAATTTTTAAATCTAAATCTCTTACATTAAATTATTTCTGTCTTTTAAATTACATCCCATTATTTATTTCAATTTAATTGATTAATGTGTTTATACTAATATTTCAAAGTTCTTTGAAGCACTTTTTGTGTCCTGAAAATGCCAAGTATTTCCGTAAAAAAAATAAGCAGGCATACAGAATAATTCATTTAATAGTTCATATAATCGCTTTTAACTTATTTCATGTCTAAATTTTCTACACAGAAATCCGCTGTCTGATTTTTAGTATCTTTCATCGGACGAAATTTTTCAAAGAGGAATGAATTAAAGGCTTGATTGAACAAAACGCATCTTTAAAGCTAAATGTATTTTAAGAAGTACAAAAAATGTCAACACGATTTTGCCCCCTCCTTTAAATCAGTCATTTAAACTATTCACACCGTTCAGGAAAAGGATAAACATTGCGAACGTAAAAATCTGCCCTTTTTTATATATACTTTAATAAAAGGAAATGTGTTCCTTCTTTTTATAAGAAAAGGAACCCATCTTCCTTTCTAAACTTTTGAAAGTCGCCAATGCTTAAAAAATGATAAACTACGCCAAGGTAGAAACCCGCCTCTGACAACTCAATGCGCATGCGTGGTTAATGTTGGTGCGAATAGCTTAAGCGGCTAATCGCACCGGTGGTGCGAATAGCATCGGCCTTATGCCTCTCCAGTAGCCTTTTGAAAGGGAAAAATGCAAGAACTTTTCGCAGCTCTCGCCTCTTCTGTGCCTTTTCGTATTTCTCTCCTGAGGTTCAAAATATGTTCAACTGTTAGTCAAGCACGTCAGCTGGAAGATAAATGGTTAGCCACTATGATCGGTGTAGTGGTCTGTGTTCTTGGCTGCTGTATCGTTAGGCTCAGGTTCGAATCCTTAAGAATGCATGGATGTTTGTAAGTGTATATTGTCAGTGCGGCATATTATTACTCAAAATGCGGACAGCCGGAAGTCCTCTCGGCTGGTTTGTTGTTGAGGGAAAGAGAGGTGGGAGACCTTTGGAGGGTCAACAGAGTGATTTCCATCAAAATTGAAATGCAAGCTAGACAACGTTGTAATGTTGCCTATATGTTGCTCAAGACACTTAACCAACGCCAAATGCAACCTTGAGCGTCTTGTCGCATGCAGGTTCAGATAAAAGCACGAGGAACACTTGACCACCATGATAAACCATCACGTATTGTTTCCAATTACTAACCATCCTTAAGGGCTTCCATGAGAGTGACCGCATCGCAAACCTTCCGTTTTAAAGCTCTATTGTTTCACTTCATAGAACTAGCTCAACTATCTTCAACAGCTCATCATGCGCATCCCAAACAATGCTATCTTGCTACTTTCTATAGCTTAATGAAATAGATACGTTATAATAAGTTATAGCAGATTAAACTAACTGGAGTTGCATTGTTAGACTTTACATCAGTTATTATGCTTCATTAAACAATACCATTTACATTTAGGCAATATGATGAAATGTGCATATTTATTAAAAAAGGATTATTCATTTTCTTCATGCAATTAATTAATTTGTCATTCTCAGTGTGGCACTTTTATTAATAGCAGCGTAAAAAGGGGGAAATCGAATAAAATATGTTAAACAGAATCAGGGGAACATATTTCTATAATTAATAGCTCTAAATATAACATTTTATAGAATTATTAGTTTGAAGACTGACAATGTTATGCAATAGTTGATTTATTTGTTTTCGTTTTGCGAACAGATGTCATTGCTCTTATTCAATTAGTGTTATTTGCCATGCCATTTTATATTAATTACCTATGTGCCTTTTAATGGATCCACTATGGAGCTTTTAAGCTACCTACCTATTACATTAAGTGTAAAAAACGTAATTTGCAAATATTAATCGTTCGTTATTCTCTTAAATGGTAGGAATATTACTCTGGGATTTTTTCAGCTCTTTCCGTAATGAATTATTGAATGTGTTCTTAGCATTTGTTTGAGATACCCGTTAGAAGCACAAACATGAAAGAGGTAATTAAAATCAGACAATGCTTTTTAAGTTTAAAAAAGAGAGGAACTGTAATTCACTAACCGGAAATTCTTCATTTCAGATTTACATTGCGCGGACCTGGCATCCATGGAGAACGGAAATTTCAAAGTAACAGGTGACCACTTTGGAGCCAGAGTTATGTATTCATGTGATGATGGCTACTGGATGTCTGGCCCTAAAGAAAGAGTTTGCCAAGGAGACGGATCCTGGAGTGAACACAGTCCTGAATGCAGACAGAAAGGTAAGTATATTAGATTTATATATAGATTATATCTCTCACCACCAGTTTAGAAATTTGTGGTATTTTATAGGCTTATAAATCCATTATTATTTTAAACTATCGCTGGTTTTCCACAGTGATAACATACATATATATGTCGCTAATAATAAAATAAATTGTTTACACCTGGAGAATCTGCAAAATGTGGAAAATGTTGTTCAAGCAGACTTTGAAGCACGGATTGCATTTTGGATCGCGACAGCAGCAGAATATCAGACTGCTGTTTTCCAACACAAACAAATCTCTTTGTGCCTTGAAGTTTGCAAAACTTAATGCGCACTTGTGCGTTGAGTTGGAAATTTTTAATTTAGTAGATAAAGAAAATTAAGTAGAAGGAAATCCGAAAATTGGTTCTTTAGAGTATAATCAATTGTGATTTAGATGCAGTATAAAGCAGTGTATTTGAAATTAAATTTCATTACATTCCAAGTTATCAGTTGTATATCCTATGTTCCTAAAATCATCGTATATCCTAAAATCATCTGAAGATCAGTTCTGCAAAATGGAAGTTGAGACAAAACTGGAAAATATTTTCCTAAAACTGTATTATACTAAAATTTTATCGCACATTTCAGTGAAAACTCGAAACGTGTGATATACTAATTAGATCACACATTTATTGAATTCATATATTCATGAAACAAATACGTGAAAATGTATAGTCAGTCACATTTTATGGTTAAATTAAACCCGTAGAAATAAACGAGGTGAAAAGAAAATCTTGAATCCCTATTCCGAACTGAGGTTTATAATATCTCTTGTAAGCAATGTAAACAGATAAAATTAGCTTAAAAACACATAGAGATAAACTGAAGTTCTGCTTGACATGAAGTAATATCGGAGATCTCTCGAAATCTCTCCGCAGCAAAGCTGTAATTAACGACTTGAAAGCTCACTAGTGTAAAACAGACTAAGCGTCTCGACAGAACTGTCTAAAAATATCTCAGAGGGTCATAGATATCATTGCTCAAGGCAGGTTTTTACAAACTGTCTTTCTCGATCCGGATGTGTTAATAGGTTTCTGTCGTGACTTCAGCAAAACCTTTTGTGGTTTATTGATAAATTAAGCAAGTTGTGAAGTTTAAGATATTTTCCTTATTATTATTATACAGTAACATACAAAATGTATGCTACTTTCACATACAAACAGTTACAATACAGACAAAATGTAAAACAATAAAAAATTTTTAATGGGAAGTGTTATAAGGTATTTCTCTCACCTAGCGTGCCTACGTGGTGTAATGGTTCTGCACGCTGGGACGGTATTCCAGAGGACCGTGGTTCGATTGCCGGCGAAAGCGGTTGCTAATTTTTCATCTCTCCCGCGTTTCCAAAAAATACCTAATCTCTCTACAGCGTGATGCTATTTCTCGCTAACTAGAACTTTCAGGTTTACCGAAAACGATGACAATATTATCCTTAAATCTACTTCAGCATTTAATAGGACTTTTTGTTATACTCTCGACCGCAGGATAGCCAAAATCTATCGATGGTATTTTGTCGAAGCTGTCCTTTAAACGTTGTACCCCAAGATAATTTATCAGAACTAGTATTTCTCCTTATCTGCTTTGCGAACATGATGAGTCCTGAAGGGGAACAGTGACCTCACTGGAGGCTATGTTCTGTGGAATTGTAAAATAGATGACTAAGATGCGAAGGGTTTAACTACCCTTTATGCTCCACGATATTACAGGCGCTCCCGCACTTCGGGATACAAAGACCAACCACTTGTGGTCTGAACGTAAAAATATAAGAACTACTGACTAACTAAATTTAAATAAGAGCTAAACTTTGAATACTTTACACAGAAGACTAAACACTAAGACTGGCCTTTCAAATTATCACGTATGTAGTACGCAAACTGCGGAAAACTCTACAGTACGTCTTTGGATTTCAAGAAGACTAAACCTCTGGCCTTAAAGGCGGAAAGCAATTCATTGCAAGCTCGCGTGAAGTACAGTGGCAAGAAGGCTCACTCTCTTCCCATCTAACTAGTAGTGGCGAAAACGCCACTACTTAAATATTTAAGCGTTAGCAGGTACAATTTGCATAAACAGTTTGACGCGTTTATTCTGGCCGGAAGTGGAAAATAAGAGAGGATATTAAAGTTTTAAAACAAAATAAACGTTAGTCAAACTTAAGATCCTTACAAATTCAATTATAGATTCAACATCCCAGCAAAAGCATTGCAGATTCCTCCAGCTTCCTTACATCGAAAAATTCTAAGAAGACACTACAAGTGGCATCTCATCTAAAAGATGGTGAAAGGTAATTCGTCAGCACCAGGATTTGGCGACTAGTTCTCCTAATCCTCAATTGCCCTTTAAAAGGAGTAATAGTAAGTAAATAAAGTATTTTCCCCTCCTTTCTGCATGCCTTCGTGTTGTAACTGAAAGCATGCTCGATGTGTATTCGGGAGGTCCGGAGATCGAACCCCAGGGACGGCACCGTGAATTTCTTCAGTTTTCTGACATCGAAAAATTCTAAAAAGGCTCTACAAGTGGCGCCCATACTAACGATGGTGGTGGACGATGATTCGTCATCATCAGAAATTGGCGATAGTCTCCCCTAATCCCCAATCGCTCTTTAAAACCGGGAGTATATAAAGAGTTTTCAGAGGGGAAGCACGATCGACGCGGATTCAGGAGGTCTGGATTTCGAATCTCGACGAAGGGGAGATGAATCGGAGGAAACTATTATTTCGGATTTGTCTGCAAATCCTGTCATATTTTCATTCATAGCAACTTAAATTTTATTAGTCAAGGAGCTAATATTGTATTCTTTTTGAACTTCTCAAAAGCCCTATAATTTCTTTCTTCCACACTTGGTGTCCACAAAATGAACGTTTCCATTGCAGCATTCATTTTTCGTGCACTAATGTTGATTTAAGAACGTTAAAAACCTCTTCTCCCATTTCCAAAAGCCTCTTCGAAACATTATTTCTGGATAACCATCGTACATCCCAAGGTAATAGGCTCATGCTCACTACCCATCTCTTCATATAATGCACTGAATAACCTCGAATTCAAGAGAAAATGTTTCCTAAAATTTACACATTTTATACATTATTTATATATTTTATTTTATAGCAGTTTACAAAAGCAATGGCATTTTTATGGCCAAGGCTTCACTGTGTATGCTGTAGTGCAAGCATAAACATTTCTAGTGTCATGGCCTTTATTTTTGGTAAAAGACTTTGCACACACATCTAGACATTGCTAAAGATTACTGCTTAACCCCACACTCTTTTTCCAGTCATTTTTACAGTCAGTGTCATTTCGATGAATATAGGTCTCAATCAAGTTAAAAACTTTTCTGATGTTGTTTTTGTATTCATCGGTTAGCAAGCCAGAAATTCTTCATTAGGTGTAGTCTCAAAATCATATCTCACAAAACACCTTTAAAAACTCGGTATATCTGTACTTTCATGGATTTGAAAAGAGAATTATTGTACTGTTTTAAGCGAACTATAGCAGTTTTTTCGATGTTACCTACTATTTCCACAATTCTACACTTCACTGTGCTACTGGAGAGAGATAGCATATTTATCTGCTTTTGCTGTTTTTTATCATATATATACGAGAATCGAATATTTTCATTGCAGAAACTATTTCCGCAACTGTATGAAAACATCCAGTTCCAACAATAAATTGGGATATTTTATAAGAAGCCACAACTACGTTTTCAGATAATCCTACGTTACTGGAGAGAGATAACATATTTATCTGGTTTTGCTGTTTTTATCGCATATACGAGAATCGAATTTTTTCATTGCAGGAACTATTAACTTTTCCGCAATTGTATGAGAACATCCAGTTCTAACAATTAAATTTGGATATTTCATAAGCAGCCACAACTACGATTTCAGATAATACTGTGTTACTGGAGCGAGATAACATGTTTATCTGGTTTTGCTGTTTTTATCGCATATACGAGAATCGAATATTTTCATTTCATGAACTATTAACATTTCCCCAACTGTATGAGAACATCTAGTTCCAACAATAAATTGAGATATTTTAATAAGAAGACACAACTGCGTTTTCAGATAAAGCCCCCTGAGAAAATCTCGAAGATATAACCTGTTTGCTAGCTCTTAGTTATTTCTTTTCATTTATAAAGAAATCTATCTACTTGTTACTATATTTTGGATGTTTTAATTCCAAGTGTCGCTTCAATGTTGGAGGCCTCATAGACTCATATTAAATGAGTTAATTAATAACGCCGTATAACAAATAACACATAATTGTTTTTCATCAGCACTTTTCATGAAACCGAATTTTATAATTTTAAGAATACTGCCGAATCAAAATGTTTGCTTCTTTTTTATACGCATAATCAAAATACCTCATGCGCTTTTTTAGAGCTATTCTTGAAACTAGTGCTTGTCTCAACGTCACTTAACTGTTTTTTGTTAGTGTCAAATTAACAAAAATTTTTCCTATCTGGAAATCTTTTGGTTTTTAATTGGTTATAACCGATACATTTTTAATTAATAATTTATACATTAATAATGAGATGTGATATTGTAATTAATAGTAAGTAAGCTCAAAAAATGTACGCAGCATCTAAACTAATAAATCTAAACTATCTAAACTAATAAATCAATACTATCTAAACTAATAAATTTATCAATAGTATTTCGTCGAAGCTGTCATTTAAACGTTGTTAATTCAATTATAGATTCAATATCTCAGTCCAATAGTTCCATCTCTGACTGTACATTAATAAGGTATTTTCTCCCTTTATTCTGCACGTTTTCGTGGCGTAATTGAGAGCATGCTTTCCTGAAGTAACTATAATCACTGAGAGTGCGAAATAAAGCTGTGTCGCCACCAAAAGTTGATTGGAACACGGTAGTACGTCCTAGCCAAGTTTTTCCGCTCTAGTCTAGACTCTGTATTGTCGCTTTCAAACAAAAACATTAGTTGAGTCTGCTGCCGTACTCCAGTTAGCCCTAG